AGCAACACAGTTCGGCCGAAGCCTACATCTTTAGACAAAGGGGATTTCGGACCACCCAACAAAACCAAGACACCAAAGGGTATTTCAAACCATCACTCAACGGAATCCAAACCAGAATATGATTCCAGACCATCACTCAACGGAATCGCGGAGTAAAAGGGATTCCGGACCATTACTCAATGGAATCCAAACCAGGATACGATTCTGGACCATCACTCAACGGAATCACGAAGTAGAAGGGATTCCGGACCATCACTCAACGGAATCTAAACGGATACGATTCCGGACCATCACTCAACGGAATCGTAAAGTACAATGTACAACACCAATCAATGAAACAGGACATGAATCAAGTTAGGTTAATCAAGTTACAAAGACTCAACGAAACGAGAAATGAAATAATGACACAAGGGGTGAAACATGTTTCGAAGCAACAAACCCCATGACAATGGGTTAACAGTCCACTACTATCCCTCACATTTCATCACATCAATCCAATCATACAATACAAATCATATTTCCAATGCACAAGTCAAATCATACTTAATAAAAATAGATCAATAGCCAGAAATAAAAATAACACTTCAATAGAATTCACATTTAATAACCATAGATCTATGGCATATATATATAATATTCACATTTCAATAGAAATTTCATTTATAACCCAAATCATATTCACATATGATATTAATATAAGAAATCAAAGCAATAACTATATCACATATATTCAAGTCACTCCCAGACCAAAGTGGTCCCACTAGACTTCACTTAATATTCCATGGTACTAGATTTAGTATTTAAAACGTTTCGAGACATGTTGACCAAAAGTCAACTCTCGATCAACGATAGGGTCTACAACCCTACGTAATTCGATTCGAAAGATCCGTTCATCAGATTTCTGATCCATAACTTCCCAAAGTCCACATTATACTCATAGAACCACATACTAAATTCTCATTGCGATCTGATGGTCGGATCTCCGCCAATTGCTAGAAATAGGTGGCAGTTAACAATTAATTTTACCAACTTAGAAATCCAAATCAGGAAGATCCGTACGTTGGATTCCCTATCCATCAATTCCAGCTATCCTCAAATATTACGTTCTATAATGCATTAAAGTTTGGTGACGATCTAATGGTCGGATCATCAATTCAAATTTTGATCAAGTGATGTATCATAATGAAACTAAGTTCAAACAATCAAACCACTTCATACATATATCAATTATGAATTCAGGGCAACTATTTGGACTTAGAAAGACATCGTCGGCCTGGCCACCCACCGTCGCATGCGCCGCCGTGGGTGGCGGTCGACTGCCCCGACTCGCCGTAAAATTCAACTAATTCAAAAAATTACCAAATTTTACAGGTATGTAGATCTCAATGAGTGGAACAAGTTTCCTACATGTGGTCAAGTCCAATTTGGATTTCACTCTAACCATCGGAAACCCTAAAATGAGTGTGCTTCGATTTGACTTCCTCGATGTTCCAACGCCCCTACAACTGATTGGGTCTTGTTCTTGGATCCAAGGGGAGTTGATTAAGGGTGGTGGTGGGTGGTGAGACTCACTGGAACGGCGGAATCGCCGTCAAAACTCCTTGGGTAACCCACACGGTTTTAGACCTAAAAACCCTCAATTTTGGGTGGGAATGGAAGATGGGAGATGGTATAAAAGGTTGCAGGTCAGAGATAGTTGAATTTCGCCTGAAAAAAATGATGGAAGTGGCTGAAAACCACTCCGGGTTGGCGCAGGTAAAGGGGCCACGAAAAATGGAAGGAAAAAAAATCATTTTCCCCCCATTGGTCCTTGCTTTTTTCCTTACTTCTAATTGGCCCCCTTTCACTTCCACATAATTGGGCTGGTCCTCCCTTTCATTGGTCACCATTTCCACGAGAGTTTTAAAGAAAATTAAAATCTATAGTTTAGAAATACAACTTCAGGTGTCCGTAACTGTACCGTTATACTTCGGACGCGTAAACGGCTTTCGCCTATGCGTTCGTGAGATCGAGCTCTATTCAGAAATATAAATTGTGACCTCAAAAGATCTACGGATTTTAAATAATAAATTTCCAAACTTCAAACTTCGTAACTAGTTTAATTAAAATCTAAATTCAAATGAATTAATATAAATTCCCAAAATAACATAAAATTTCAATAATAACAATACATAGATTATAACAGTGAAATCCGGGAACAGGATTTCACATTCTTTCCCCCTAAAAAAAATTTCGTCCTCGAAATTTCAGTGTCAATCCCATATCCACCAATGCCACAAATCAATTGAATAACAACATCGAAATGGCATTCACTCTTTAATTCTAATTGAATTTAGTTAACATCAAGCTCGACAACATTGAATCACAACTCACAAATACAATTATCATCGTCTCAGCATGACTTCATCACCAATCTTGCACAATCACAAAGAATTCCACTACTAACAAGAATTCTTCAAGATACTCATGATTCTAGCAACCAAACCAACCAAATTTGCAATTACAAACTTTCCCCATCATCCAATTTATAGTGAATAAAGTCATAACCTTAGCCTATGAGTTTATTCAAGCTCAAAATAAATAAATCAACGAAAATCATCGTGATTCTCACCCATATACTTAGATTCCCAGCAACATTTATTGGTAGAATAATTATAAGAATTTCTAGCCATATACATTGCAAAATAATTATCAAACATCAAGCCGCAATCCTCATTGGCTAAATAAATACCAGATTATCAAACCACATCTACCATTAGCTAGATAAATACTACCATTATAACCACAAGCATTTATCATTAGTGAAACAATATCATAATTTCCAGCCGGAACCCTCATTGGCCAAATAAATATCAAAATTTCAAACCAAACTGTCAGAATTGGCAAATCAAACATCAGAAATTCTGGCCAAATTGGAATTTCGAATCACAATTACTCACCACTACATATTAAACCAATCATAGCCTCGGGTTGTGATTTCATTCTCATCCGTAAAATCATTGTGACTTTCATAAATACTCAAATTTCCAACCATAATTATCATGGCCATAAGATTTTAAAGTTTCTAGTCATAATCATCATTGGAAAAACAATAATTTAATCACCTTTTTCTTGTATCCCCATAAGTGAAATGGTTGTGTTTGTATGATTGAATGGGAGAAGAAAAATTTTAAAATATCATATTTCATGTTATAGCTTCAAAGATGAGCATTTGATTAAAGTCTCAAATTAATCTTAAATTGGGTTGATATTATGTTATACGATATGAAAATTTTGATGTTAAGATGATTGTGCAATTGTGATAAGTAGATAGAAAAGTCGTATTATACTTGTGCAATTGAGAAATGTTGAATAAGGCGGAAAATGCCGTGGATGTTGATTCGGACAAAAAGGCCGTGGAATGTGGAGGAATGTTGGAATGGGTAAAATGACTTGTGGAATGTGAGCAATGGATGAGTGGGCACAATGACTCAATGTTTTCAGGGAGAAACTCCATATGTGGGTTGCAAGAATGAATTATTGAAGGAATAAATATGTGTGATGTGTATTGGTCAGGTATATTACAATCTTTTCCAGTCCAGCTTTTCAATCGGGCAAAGACCCCCGCACACCAACCCGATTCTATTACCAGCGATTCCACCATTTTTTCCATCGAATGACCACCATCCAACACCTACAACTTCTTCCACATCCTCCCATCTACCATCTCCACCCAAATTTGGTGATTTTTAAGCCTAAAAAACCGTGTAAAAATCGTGCTGGTGACCGAAGGTGTTGTTATAATCTACGTATTGTTATTATTGAAATTTTATGTTATTTTCAAGAATTTATATTAATTTATTTGAATTTAGATTTTAATTAAACTTGTCACATCCCGGCCCAGGCCCTCACCATATCCCGGGCTCGACTTCACCATAGAACGATATTGTCCGCTTTGGGCCCCAACAATGCCCTCACGATTTTGTTTCTGGGAACTCACACAAGAACTTCCCAGTGGATCACCCATCCTGGGATTGCTTTCATTGCTATCTCACTTAACTTCGGAGTTCCGATGGAACCTGAAGCCAGTGAGCTCCTAAAATGCCTCATGCTAGGTAGAAATGAGAATATACATATAAGGCTTACGTGATCCACTCCCCTTGGCGATGTGGGATGTTACAATCCACCCCCTTTAGGGGCTCGATGTCCTCGTTGGTACACTTCCGGTCAGGGATTGGTTCTGATACCAAATTGTCACATCCCGGCCCGGGCCCCCACCACATCCCGGCCCAGGCCCCCACCACATCTCGGGCTCCATTGTAGCATGATATTATCCGCTTTGGGCCCCGACCACGCCCTCACGGTTTTGTTTCTGGGAACTCACACGAGAACTTCCCAATGGGTCACCTATCTAGGGATTGCCCTAGCTGCGATCTTGCTTAACTTCGGAGTTCCGATGGAACCCGAAGCCAGTGAGCTCCCAAAATGCCTCATGCTAGGTAGAGATAGGAATATACATATAAGGTTTACAGGATCCACTCCCCTGGGCGATGTGGGATGTTACAGGGATCCTCCCCGGATCCCTTCCTCCTAATCCACAAATTACAGGATCTGTACCGTTGAAATTTGATCCAATAGCTGAAATTATTATAACTTTTAAAGTATACCCCTGTGTGAAATCTCGTTCCTAGACTTCACTGTTATAATCTACGTATTTGAATTATTGAGATTTTATATTATTTTTCGAGAATTTAGATTTATTTATTTGAATTTAAATTTCAATTAAACTAGTTACGAAGTTGAAGTTTGGAAATTAATTATTTAAAATCCATAGACGTCTTGAGGTCACAATTTATATTTTCAATTAGAGCTCGATCTCATGAACGCGTGGGCGCAAACTGTTCGTGAAATAGAGTTATAATGAATAAGTTATGAACGAGCAAAGTTATGGATGAAATTGTCATTTGACCATAATATGGAATGCTCCACAAAATCTAGAAAGCCATGTGGATGGTTGTGATGGAGAAAGGAAAGAGATGGATAGCTGGATTGAAAGAAAAGAAGAGAAATGAGGGTAAGGGGCGGCTAATCAGAGAAGAAAAGGGGAGGATGTGAACCAATGGGAGGGGAGAGTAAGGAAAGAAAAGAGATGGGGGTGAGAAACACCCAACATGATTTCCCCCTTCTGTGACTCGTGTACCCATGACCTGACCCGCCTTTTGTGACTATTCTGACGGCTATTCCATCCAATTTTCTGGCTTTCTTCAACCTCTCATCACCACCAAACTTCATCACCACATCACAACATCCAATTCTATCTAAAATCGACGAAAATTGATTGTGATTTCACAAGGGTTTTACACCTTGGGTGCAGCGAGGAACCATGCCGAGATCCACCAAATGTGAAACGTTTTCCTCCAATTATCACCACCAATGGAACAAAGCCCAAACAACATTGGAGGCGGCAGAGCATCAGAGGTGACGGATCGAAGTCACCCAAATCAAGGGTTTCCGGCGGTTCGTGGGCAATTTGAGGTGTTTCCCGATCAAATTGGACTTGGCCACAGGTATGAAACTTGTTCCTCTCATTGAATTTCTAAGTTTGTGAAACTAATTGTTGACCGCTACCTAATTCTAGAAATTGGCAGAGATCCGGCCGTCGGATTTTGATGAGAATTTAGTATGTTGTTCTATGAGCATAATGTGGACCTTAGGAAGTTACAGATATGAAATACGATGTGCGTATCTTCCGAATTAAATTGTAAGGGTGTGGACCCCGCTATTGATGTTTGGTCAACAGGTCTTGAACCATTTGAATTACTAAAATTAGTATTACTAGAGATTCGGTGAAGCTTTACGGACTTGTCTCAGTGAGTGACTTTAATATATGTGATATGGTGATTACCCGATTCTTTATATTAATACCATTTGTGGATATGACATGGTTTTATAAATGTGTTTTCTGTTAAAATGTGATTCTTTTATAATTGGCCATCAATCTATTTTTATTAAATGTGATTTGATTCATGGATTGGTAATATTTGTGGAAAAGTGATTCGAATTGCATATTGAAATGTTTTGTAAATTGAGGGCTAGTAAGGGATTATGATCCTGCTTAGTTAATCTACATTGTGGGGTCACTAGTGGTCCTACTTAGTTAATCTGCATTAGGGGACCATACTATATATAGATCGCGCTTGGTTAATCCGCGTTGGGCGATCCTTATGGCCATTTATACTGAGGGGTGATCATGCTTGGTTAATCCGCGTTAGGTGATCACTGCCTAACAATTCTGTAGGTGTGACTCTGCTTGATTAATCCGCGTTGTGGGGTCACTACCTACCTAATTATCTTGACCCTGCTTGGTTAATCCACATTAAGGGGTCACTAATGGTCATGCTTGGTTAATCCGCATTGGGGGACCATACTATATGTGGATCGTGCTTGGTTAATCTGCGTTAGGCGATCCTTATGGCCATGTATGCTTAAGAGTGATCATGCTTGGTTAATCCGCATTGGGTGATCACTTCCTAACAGCTGTAGGAGTGACTCTGCCCGCATTGGGGGTCACTACCTACTTGGTTACTTTCTCAGGGGTGGCTCTGCTTGGTTAATCCGCTTTAGGGGGCCACTTCCTGTTTGGTTACTTATGTAGGCTTCGGCCGAACTGCGTCCCTATAGCCCTAGTTTTTAATGTACATATGAACGATGTTTTTTTGAGAATCTTGTGGTTTGAATTAGAAAAGTCATTGGATGTTTGGGTGACTCCTTCAGAGTTTTCAGCAACTTGATTATGATTTCATAAAGCATAATTCTTTACTTGATGTTTATAGATTGTGATCGATGGTATGTTTTTATTGAATATCACATATTTGTATTATTGTCACTCACCCGAGTTTCGCAACTTATCCAAGTTCTGATTTGCCCAGTGCACAATTTTCATGATGTAGGCACTGATTTTACATGCGACAGGTCTAGGTAGATTACAAGAAACTGATTGATATTTTGGTTTCGTTGAGTGGTCCGGAACCCGATGTGGTTGGGTTCTGTTGAGTGGTCCGGAATCCTTACTCTTGCACATTTCCAAAAGGTTAGTCTAGAACCCTAGATTCGAGTGAATATGAATTGTCAACATTAGACCTTGTGAATATAAATTAGTTTTGCCATGTTGTTACTCATGATCCAAGGAGGAAATTATATAGAGTTCTTTAATTAGATTCATAAAATGATATGTTATCGTATTGTTTGATTAACGTAGTTAAATGCTAAGATCATGCATTTTTAATTCATGAATTGTTTAATTTACGGGATTATGGAATGACATTGAAGATAAAGTGAATTATGTGATAATTGTTCGAGTGTAATATATGACGAACTACGAATGACTTGATCCCTATTGAGGATACGTAGGCAATCTAACGGAAGGTTAGATGCAGCCATAAGTACACGAAAAAAATCACTAATCAATTTGAGGCTTGAGCGTACTTGGTACATATTTCGGAGGCGGGGTATGTTAGATATATGGATATTTGGTGATGTCACGTGTCGATCCTGGACGTATGTCGGGATCGGGGCGTGACACCTTATTTGTAGCCGTTTGATTAAATTTTAACGGCACATATCCCATGATTTGATGGATTAGGAGGAAGGGATCCGGAGATGATCCCTTTCCCTAGAAAAGGAGGTCCATCTTAAAATATATATTAAAAAAAATTAATTAAAAAGGCTTGAAAACTTGGAGTTTGAACGATAAAGACAAAATAAATGGTAAATTGAATAGTATCAGCATTAACTTTTTAGTGTAAAAATATGGTTTTTCGTTAAAATGAACAATAGCAGAAGTTTTTCGTTAAAATTCCTATTAAAAATAGAGATGATGTCTAATTGGGGGAGGTGATAAATGGATTGATTACAATTACGACAACGCTTCAGTAATTACATAATGTGTAATGGTAAGGAAATATTCGACATTGTGTTACTAGATCTAGAACTTACCGTAAGATGTACTCGAATAGTTTAAAAGGAAAACTAATGAAAAAGACTTGAAAACTTTGAGTTTTAACGATAAGGACAAAATAAAGGGTAAAGTGAATAGTATCAGGATTGACTTTTTAGTGTAAAAATGTGGTTTTTTCGTTAAAATGAACAGTACCGCGGACTTTTCGTTAAAACTCCCTAGTTTAAATTGTTCTGGCAAGTAATCCCAATATGTGGTGATTTTTTTTATTTCTTGAAATACCATTAATATTGGTTGTGATTGCAGAGATGGCCAATCAACATCGAGGAAGGACGATAATAATGATAGTGTCGTAATCAAACACAACCATCGTTGAAATAAATTTCTCTTTCTGTTTGCCTTTTAAAAATAATACTTGACAACTTTAAAGATGAGTAAAATTCTTACTCAAAATTATACGTTGCTAAGTCATAAAACATTATGTTTATGATCAAAATTGTTTATATTATAAATCTTCTACAAATGCCATCTCTTAAAAAAAATCAATTAAAAACTAAGATCGTTTGTAAGTTCTTGAAAGGTCTGTATGCACACAAGAAAGATTTATAATAGTGATTTTAAAGTTTTGACCGGAGAATTACTTGTGTTTTTGTTAACTTTGTATCTCAAATTCAAGATCAAAAACTAAACCTGACCTGAAATTCGACCACAACTCCCCCTGAACCACTTGTTTTGTTTAGTAAACTTCTTTCGACTAAAAGTTTGAGATACCATTTCGCCTTAGAGATCATTCTACATTTATAAATGTTTTTACAATGCAAATAATTAGGGTTCAGACAACCCAAATAAAGAATTGGTTGATCGAGTTGATCGAGTTAATATCGTAGTACTACTTCTAAAACTATGTGCCATGACTTTGATTTCTCAACCGTAGAAAAATAAAAAGTTCGTAGTCTAAAGATAAATGGCAAAATATATATGAGTAATGTTATTTTTATCATAATTTTATATTATATTTTTTTATCATTTTACGTGGTAGATGAGTTAGGGCTGGTTTGGTATTGCGGTGCTTTGAAAAATAGCTGCTTCTGCTGTGCTGTGAGAATAAGCAGAGTGTTTGATAAACTTTTTTGTAAAAGTACTTTTGAAAAAAAAAGCAGTATTATAGTGTTTGGTAAACTTTTATGTAAAACAGATGTAAAAAAAAACTAGTTTTTCAAAGCTAAGTTTTGTAGCCATGTGTTTTTGGCTTTTTTTCATCCAAAACTGTGAAAAAAAACTGAAGCTGAATGTTTACCAAACACAAAAAAGCTCCCAGCTTTTTTTGATACCGCTTTTTTTTATACCCATTTTTTTTTCAGAATCACCTCAGTACCAAACCAGGTCTTAGACAAGCTACATTATTTAATTTCAATCTTTTATTAATTAAAACACTTAAATAATTTTAGATGGAAGATGCGACTCCTCGTATACCACAATCATCATTTAATTAATAATTTTTTATTAATTATTGATTAATATTTTGAAATTAAATGCTAATTAATTTAGATGATGTAGTTGTCCACATCAAATACTACCTAAAGTAATATACAATTATGGTACAAAAATATGATAAAAATAACATTATTGAATATATATATATATATATATATTATATAGGGGTAGGGATCCTAGAGGATGTGTGACATATTTAATTTGAGATCCACCGATCACTATTATTTTTATATCAACTTGCAAGTTGCAGCCAAATTTGCCAACAAGGCAGAAAAAAGCACATTCCAGATAAAGATGCAGCTTACACCAGAGCAATTTTTCAATCTGTTGAAGAACTTAATTTGATATATCAAGTAATAATATAATTGGTTAATTTTTTTTTAATTTTTTATATTTTCAACTAATTGTACTATTACTATTATATTTGATATATTAGACCGTATCCTCTTATATCACCATACCAAACCTGATGGGTTTTGCTTCTAATGCAAGATCCACGTAAAGGTTCAAATTAACCCCAAATCAAAGGCAAAGTATATAAGCACAAACTCCAGCTAATTTCAGCTTTAAACTTTTGCCTGCCTCTTAAAAAAATTATCATTGATATGCACCAAAACAAAATCTCTCTATTTCTGATACGAATGATGTTATTTGTACCACATTTACTGATTACTTTATTAGTTTTCTAATAAAGGTGAAAACTTCATCTATATATGTGAGACTTGCGTGTATTTCAAAGGTCATCGACAATGTAATCAGTAAATGTGGTCTGAATAACATCACTCTTCTAATACTAGTAAGTACAAATACAAACATGGGAAATTCAACCACGAAGCAAGGTTCAAACTTTTAACAAAAAGAAAACGAGTTTTTTAGGAATTTTACATTGATTACATCATAATAAGAGGTTTGTAACTGAAGCAAATACAAGCGTTTATCTATGCACCCGAATCATACAATTAAGGAAACTTAGTTGTCTTGCGCCAAAACTAAGGCTTACTTATGTTGGTCAATATCAGCATGTTCTAAGTTTGCCGTCCTCATCCAAACAACCTAAACAATTCGTTGACCTTTTGGTGTTGGATCCCTTTGACAAAATAGCAAGTCATGCATGCATATATATTTGGTTATGCTCCACTTCTAAGTAATTGGCCTTGTGGCCGACCTAAGTTAGAAATAGAACCTTTAACCTTTTAGTGTTGTTAAACAAACCAAAAGGGGTATGTATGTGTGAATGAGATTTTAAGTCTTCAATTGAAGTAACAATTTGGCTTTTCTTTTTGTTATCTGTGGAACCATATTTTTTTTTTGGATAGGAGTAAGGCATATCGGATTATAAATGCCTTAGAAATCCGATTATAAACTCAACGGCTCTAATTGGACTAAGCCGACTAAATAGACCAATAATGCCCTACATCTTGTTGAGCTCTGATATGATAAGGAAGGTATGCAGACCTTGCTGAGA